TTTCATATAATACTGATTTGGTGGTGATAAACTCCTTTATTTTTTTTGTTTTGTTTGGAAAGCACTTTATTGTTGATTTAATTCTTGGAATCCTCTACTCTACTGTCAATTCCTTGTATTCTTCAATTCTAAATGATAGCTTTGCTCAGTAGAGTACCTTGGTTGTAGGTCCTTGCTTTTCATTATTTTGAATATTTCTTGCCACTCCCTTCTGGCCTGCAATGTTTCTGTTCAGAAATCAGCTGACAGTCATATGGGCTCTCCCTTGTAGGTAACTAACTGCTTTTCTCTTGTTGCTTTTAAGGTTCTCTCTTTGTCTTTAACCCTTGGCATTTTAATTATGATGCCTGGGCGTCTTTGGGTTCCTCTTGTTTGGGACTCTCTGGGCTTCCTGGTCTATTTCTTTCACCAGGTAGGGGAAGTTTTCTGTCATTATTTCTTTAAATAGCTTTTCAATATCTTGCTTTCTCTCGTCTCCAACCCCATAATGTAAATATTGGTATGCTTGAAGTTGTCCCAGAGGCTCCTTACTATCTTCATGTTTTGGGGTTATTTTCTATTTCATTTTGTTCTTCTGATTGGGTGTTTTTTTGCTTTCTCATATTCCAAATCGTTGATTTAATTCTTGGAATCCTCTATTCTACTGTTGATTCCCTGTAAATTATTCTTTATTTCAGTTAGTGTATGCTTAATTTCTGACTGGTCCTTTTTCATGTTTTTAACATTCTCACTAAGATCCTCGAAAGTCTCACTAAAACCCTTGATGCTCTCATTAAGTCCCCTGAAGCTCTCATTAAGATCCTTGAAGCTCTCATTAAGATTCTTGACTAATCTTATAACCATTGTTTTGAACTCTATATCCAGTATTTTGCTTGCTTTCATTTCTTTCATTTTTAACATGTCTCTGCATTTTGGCTGCTTCCCTGTGTTTATTTCTATGTATTAGGTAGAGCTGTTATGTCTCCTGGAATTGGTAGAGTGGCCTTTGTATTAGGGGTTCTGTAGGGCCCAGTGGCTCAGTCTCCCCAGTCACCTGAGCTGGGCACTCTAGGTGTGCCCCTGTGTGGGCTGTGTGTACAGTCTTGTAGTCGAGACTTGATTGCCATTGGTGTCGCTAGGAGGAATTTGCTGTGAGGACCAGCTGTGTCTACAATAAAAGAGCTGCTTGCTGTGCAGGAGACACGCCTTGGAGCAGGACTTGCTTCATTTGGGCTTTGGTGCTCACTGAGTCTGCCCCTGTTGCTTGTGGATGCATAGAGTTGTAATATAGTATGGTCTGAAGCTGTCCATCGGGTGCACTGACTCTGAGGCCTCCCAGGAGGTGCAAAGTCAGGTACTGCCTAAGGCCACTAGCAGGAGCTACAGTGACATCTGCAGATGGCTACTACTTGTATTGGGCTTAGAAGTGCCTGGGTGAGGCCCAGCTATGAAGCAAGGCGTCCTGGTGTTCGTGCCGGGTCTTGGACTTTTTATTAATTGGTTTGGGGCATGGTGATGCCAGCTGCTGCTTGTTTAAGAGTTTTTAGCAATGTCTGAAGCCTGAGCCAGGACAGACCATTTATGGAAAAGCAGTTGCAAACAACTTGGTTGGGGCTGCAAATTGGATTGGGTGGGGTCTCAGGGAATCACCAGGGTGGAGAGAACAGTGTGGGCCAAGCTGATGGAAACTCAGATATGACTGCTAGTCAGCTCTGTGATGGGGGAGGTCCCACAGGAACAGTGACCCCTGGGAGCACCCCTGTGGGAGAAAGCTGCACCCAAGTTCCTGTTCCTATGCCATACAGTCCAATTTCTCCCCATATGTACCTGGATTCCCCTAAAGCTGCTGTCCTGTACTGGAGCTCAGAGGAAGCAAGATCATGTAAATTCTTGCATGGGCCCTTTAAGAGGAACACCTGGGTCTCCAGCAGCCTTTATGTCACTCAGCCACAATCCCTGCTGGTTTTTACAGCCTGAAGTTATAGGGACTCTGGAACCCTAGGCTGGGGGTCTGGTGAGCAGCTGGGATCCTCGCTTCCTTGGATATATCCCTCCCGATTAAAAAAACGCAGCATGTGGGTGTTGGACTAGCTCAGTCTATGTCTCTGCTCCTCCTACCAGTCTCAATGTGCTTTCTTCTTTGCTTCTCTAGTTGTAGGACTTCCATTCAGCTAGATTTCAGGTGGTTCTGAATGATGGTTCTGTATTTTAGTTATAGTTTTGATGTGGTTCTGGGAGGCGGTGAGTATAGGTGTTTACCTAAACTGCCATCTTAGTTCCTTCCCTTGTCTTTTTTTTTTTTTTTAATTATTCTCTAATGTACTTTGCCAATTCAGATTAGTATTAAAAAAAATATTGACCAGACATGCCTCTGAGTGCTGGGAGAAATGGATAACTTCTATAGCCTGTTCTCCTTTAAGAAAAAATAAAAAGAGAGGGCTGCTGCTTAAGGACGATTGTACTGTCCCAGGGATGTACATGAATTGTTGTATAATTTTTAAGCTTGAGAATGGACATTCAGTAAACCAAACTATCCTGTAGCAAATAATGTTTTTTTCTACTTTCTTAACTTCTCACTACAGTTCTCCAATTATTTCTATACTTTTTTAAAAGTTTCTTATATGCCGAACCGGTTTGGCTCAGTGGATAGAGCGTCGGCCTGCAGACTGAGGGGTCCCAGGTTCGATTCCGGTCAAGGGCATGTACCTTGGTTGCGGGCACATCCCCAGTGGGGGGCGTGCAGGAGGTAGCTGATCGATCTCTCTCATCGATGTTTCTAACTCTCTATCCCTCTCCCTTCTTCTCTGTAAAAAATCAATAAAATATATTTTTTTAAAAAAGTTTCTTATATTATTTATCCATTAAATAATACTTTGCTGCCATTTGTTTCTAGATAATATCTCATCTCTGAATGATTTGAATTAAATAATTAGATGATTTAATTAAATTTTTGTTATGCGTCATTCAGGTATGTCAAAAGGTCCTGTTTCTCTCTGATTTATTCAATTTTACTATTAAACTTCAACTGGGACCACAAAGTATTCATGGACAAGAATGACATCTTGGATTAATTCCATTGGGATGCGTGCTCTGTGCCAGATTTTATTTTGCTCAGCTATCAATGAGGCTGTTGTGGAAATGTGGGTTTTCTTTGCTGTGAGAATTTATGCGTACAAAGAGACCTGCTTTCAGAAAGAACATTGAGAACCCAGAGTCCAAGAGGGAGGGTTATTAAAGTTAATGAACCAGGATAACCTTATCCAGAGGGTGCCAGAAACACTATAAAACAAAAGGTCAATTGCTATTGCTATTTTAGTTATATACCCCCACCCTCTCTAGGCTTCAGAGTTTTAACAGGGTTTTAACTGCCTTTACAGTGAGGCCTTGGCAAATAATTTTTAAGCCAGATCAAAATTCTTTAATTTTTTTCCTGTAAAATTCTATGTATCTGGGCATTACTGTGTGCCATTTCGGAAACAGAATGTTACTTAACTAATGGGAATGGATTGTTGTAGTTCTGATATAGTAGTTCACATTTGTACAGAGCCAAAGTGTTCCAGGTACTGAGTTAGACATGGAATCAGGCACAAGTATTTTTTATTTCTGTGCGTTTTAAAGGTAGAAATGCTATTCATACTTGACAGCCTTCAGAATGTTTTCATGAACTTGTATCTGAAGAACTTCACAACACTGAGAGTTTTGTAAATAAAAAAAGTAATAACCAGTGAGGTTAAGTGACCTTTCACTGAGCACTAGAACTCAGTCCTATTCCAGTGGTCTATTCTTGTCCAGAAGTATTGTTTTGATTTCCCAAGATTCTTAGGGCATAGAATGGGATGTTTCACTTAGAAAATTCACTTAGAGTTTGAAATTATATGACAATATGGCAAAAACCTCTTAGAAGAGAGCCCAACTCTATGAATGGCAAGACACTTCTTAAACGGTATTACAATATTTCCAAGTGCACTTTGAATTATATCCCTTTATGGTGGGCATAACTTAGATGGCAGTCTCTTCATATATATGACTAGGGCATGTCAGTTAAGAGAGTAGATGGCTTTACAGTTTTCCTGTGATGTCTAATTAAATTTATAAAAAATAATTGCTGGGCTTGTATAACCATTAGACATAAGACATTTATTTACAAAGGGGGGGAAGTATTTGAAGAAAGGAAAGGCACTCTTATTATATAAAAAGAATGGGATAATACACATTGTTATGTATAAAGATTTTCATTTTTCACTGAGCAAGAAATCAGTTTTGTCACAGGGATAAAGTCTATGGATATAATAGGTATTTCAGAGTTAGAAGATACCAAATTCTCAAGATACCTACAAATGACTGAAAGGTGCACTTATGAGGAGTTAAAAGCTACCACAGTATATATGTAAAAATTTCCCCAATTTTCCATGGGAATACCAAGGCCATATGCATCACTTTATTCTTAAGATATCTAACTTTAACTTCCGGCTAATTATTGTTTTTGGTGTTAACATTAGAGAGAAAACAGTTTTAATGGGATTTTTTTCCAGAAATAACTAGATGTCTTTATGTTATATTTTACATTATATATTTCTTTGGTATTTTTTTTTCTTTCTCTTTTTTCTCTTTGCAGTCTGAAGCTGCATTATTAAGAAGGTGGTAAATGTAAATTTTTCGTGGGCTAACACAGAAACTCCTATACTGGCTGAATATCAGATTCACCATGGATACTTTAAAAATACAGATTCTTTTTTACCTACTAAATACCTTTGGAAGCAGAATCTTAGGGAATTCCTCCTCATTGTCTGTATTTTTATAAATCTCTCAAAATAGTGGTTCTACAGCAGCTTTTCCACATACTCATGTTTAGGAAACACTAGTCTAGAAATATTTTGGAATGCTACCAGTTTAAAAATTTTAAGTTTATGTAGATGTACCTTTTTAAATGGTTTTAGAGACAACTGGGTAAGTCTGGATGCCTAGACTTATATTTTGTCCTTAAATATATCATTTCACACATATTTTTCTAATTTTCATAGAGACCGTTTATTTGTTTGGTGGCTGGGATGGAACACAAGATCTTGCTGACTTCTGGGCGTACAGTGTGAAGGAGAACCAGTGGACATGTATCTCTAGAGACACTGAGAAAGAGGCAAGTTCTCACACTTTTCATCCATTGGTATTGCAGTAGGGGTGCGGGTGTACACTTCTTTTTTTCTGGATAATTTGTATTCTTTTCTAATATCTATCAGCAGTGATAGCAGAAGAATTTGTGGTGAACAAGTTTGGCTTAAGTACTTTTACATTCCAGCTTCTATACATGGTTCTTCAACTACTTGTACATGAACAAATCTGTCTTACAGAATTACAAAGCAGTGGTTACCTGATACTAGAGGCATGGTGCACAAATTCGTGCATGGGTGGGGTCCCTTGGCCTGGCTGGCAATCGAGGCCGTCTCGCCCAGTCTGGGGGGAGGGACTGCAGGACATTGGCCAGCTGGGGGGAGGGACCGTGGGAGGTTGGCCAGCCATGGCAGGTTGGCTGTGGGAGCACACTGACCACCAGTGGGCAGCTCCTATGTTGAACATGTGCCCCCTGGTGGTCATTGTGTGTCATAGCTACCAGTCATTTGGTCCTTTGGTCGCTTAGGCTTTTGTGTATATATACTAGAGGTCTGGTGCACAAAATTCGTGCACAGGGGTTGGGGGGTGGCGGGGTTGTCCCTCAACCTGGCCTGCACTCTCTCCAATCTGGGACATCCCTCTCACAATCCAGGACTGCTGGCTCCTAACCGCTCGCCTACCTGCCTGCCTGATTGCCCCTAACCGCTTCTGTCTGCCAGCCTGATCGCCCCCAACTGCCCTCCCCTGCTGGCCCGATCACCCACAACTGCCCTCCTCTGCCACAACCTGCCTCTTCCGCCAGGACTGGCCGCCTCTGCACCGCGCAGAGCTGCAGGACTCCCAGGCCTCATGGTGCAGAGCGGCCACCGTGCCCCCCTCCGCTGTGCACGTGGCCATCTTGTGGCAGCCATCTTGTGACAACATTGTGCGAGGGCGTCGTGCAAAGGTGTGACGCCACCTAGGCTTTTATTATATAGGATTATTATATATGATAGATCATTTAGTTTTTACTACTTTCCTGGGAATGTAACTATGTAACTATCTTGATTTTTCATGTTCCTGTCACCTCTACTCTTATTTCAAGCATTCATCTTATTTTGAGTTCTGAAAATTGTGCTTTGGATGGCTTCACTATCTCACTATTTTGGCCCCTTACTATTTAACAACTATCAGTTTTACTAATGAAACATTTTATTTTTACCTAAAATTGCATGTATATATTTGTGCCTGCTGATATATGTATCCACCAAGCATTTCAGTAGTGAATAAGATGGCTTGATTTATGGCTTTGAATTAAATAAGTACATAATTATACACAGGTATAAAGCAAAAGTTAATTCATTTTTCCCCAAATCTTTTTTTTAATGTTTTTATTTATTTTAGAAAGAGGGAAAAAGAGAGGGATAGAGACATAGGAGCATCGATGAGAGAGAAACATCTATCTGCTGCCTTCTGCATGTCCCCTACTGGGGATAGAGCCCACAACCCTGGCATGTGCCCTAACCAGGAATCTATCTGGTGATCTCTTGGATCAGGGAGCAATGCTCAACCACTGAACCAGACTTGCTGGGCTCAAATCTTTATAGAACTTTTTATTGTACCCTATGTCTAAGATGTTTCAGATTATGAGGTTAAAAATAAACTAACAAAACAGTAGGAGCTGCAAGTGAAAAGTGGGAGAAAAAGACCTAATTTAAAACCCACTGATTTTCATGTAAGAAGGCCATTTCAAAAAGATCTAATACTATGTCTTTAATCCTAGGACACTGGATTCTTGCGTACTCATGTGTTCCCTGGGTTAATAATTTAATTAATCATTCTTTCCAAAGGTATTTTAAAATTCCGATTTGTATTTATTATCTCTGTAAAAGTATATAAAAATGGCCTTTGTTTTCAATATTAAAGTACCATTTTCTGAAATGATATTTCTATCCTCAACAAAAATAGACACCTAAAAAAATACCTTTCTTCTCTTCAACTATTTTATTATTTATTTTTATTTTTTTGGTATAGCAAAGGTGGAAATTTATTGAAGTACAAGTACAGATTCCCACCTGGAGAAAGGGAAAGAATCTCACAGCACAGACTCCCAAGTGGGAAGGGGGAAAGAGTCCCCTATTTTATTATTTTAAATTTATCTTTATTGTTGAAAGTATTACAGATGTCCCTCTTCTCGCCCCACCCCAAAATCCCCTCCATTCCACAACTGCCCCTCCCAGGCCTTTACCACACTATTGTCTGTGATCGTGGGCTATGAATATCGTATATAATAAAACCTAATATGCAAATTGACTGAACAGCAGAATGACTGGTCGATATGCTGCGCACTGACCATCAGGGGGCAGATGCTCAACCCAGGAACTGCCCGCAGGCCCCATGGTGGGTGCCAGTGGCCCTCCCTCCCCCCAATCGCCCAACCAGTCGTCCCACAGATCGGTCCTGATCGCCAGCCAGGCCTAGGGATCCTACCCATGCACGGATTTCGTGCACCGAGCTTCTAGTATATGCATATAAGTTCTCTGGTTAATCTCTTCCCCCTCCCCGCCCCACTTCCTTCTGAGATTCATCAGTCTGTTCTATGCCTCTATGTCTCTGGATCTATTTTGTTCATCACTTTATTTTGGTCATTAGATTCCACGTATGAGTGAGATCATGTGATACTTATCTTTCTCTGACTGGCTTATTTCTCTTAGCGTAATATTCTCCAGGTCACTCCATGCTGCCTTAATGGGTAAGAGAGCCTTTTTTTTTACAGCTGCACAGTATTCCATGGTGAAATGTACCACAGCTTTATTATCCACTCATCTACTGATGGGCACTTTGGCTATTTCCAGATCTTAGGTATTATAAATTGCGCTGCTATGAACATAGGGATGCATATATTCTTTCTGATTGGTGTTTTGTGTTTCTTAGGATATATTCCCAGAAGTGAGATCACTGGATCAAATGGGAGTTCGATTTTTAATTTTTTGAGGAAACTCCATACTCTTTTCCACAGTGGCTGCACCAGTCTGCATTCCCACAAACAGTATATTAGGGTTCCCTTCTCTCCACATCCTCGCCAGCACTTGTCATTTGTTGATTTGTTGATGATAGCCATTCTGACAAGTGTTAGGTAGATACCTCATTGCTGTTTTAATACATATCTCTCAGATTATTAGTGACTTTGAGCATTTTTCCATGTCTCTTGGCCTTCTGTATGTCTACTTTAAAGAAGTGTCTATTTAGGTCCTTTGCCCATTTTTCAATTGGGTTGTTTGTCTTCCTTAAGTTGTATGAGTTCCTTATATATTTTGGAAATTAACCTCATATCAGATGTATCATTGGCAAATATGTGCTCCCATGCAGTGGACTCCCGTTTCATTTTGTTGATGGCTTCTTTTGCTTTGCAGAAGCTTTTTATTTTGGTGGAATCCCATTTGTTTATTTTCTCCTTAGTTTCCCTTGCCGTAGGAGATGTATCGGTAAACATATTGCTATGAGAGATGTCTGAGATTTTGCTGCCTATGGTTTCTTCTAAGATTTTTATCTTCAACTATTTTAAATGCAGGTTGATTGCATTTGTAATTACTCTTGCAATAAATCTGGAATTTATTCAGAAAATCTTCTTTTTCATAGAGTGCATCTAATTAATGCCTAAATTCTAGTAGTTCTAGCACTCAGTATTACATTTCACATGTCTTTTCCTCTCTGTCTTCTTGGTATTAATTCCAACTTTATACTTTCTTTCTTAAAATTTTTACCTCTATTGTTGACTCCAGATCTATTTTCCATTTATTAGCACAGTCTTTAGAAAACATATTGGGCCATGTGACACTGCTCAAACCCCATGGTTAGCTTCAATCCATTTCAGTTATCTATTACATTCTATTTCATTTTGAACTTTACAAAACTTCAGTGGCAAATAATAATAAGCATTATTTTACTCAAAAGTTTACAGATTGGCTGGGTCATTTTTTTGGTTTTGGCTGGGCTCACTAATGTGTTGGGACTTAGCTGGCTGTCAGCTAGTGCGGGATAGCTTCAGCTGGGACTATTTGGCTCTGTTCTAAGTCATTGCTTACCTTCCTATTGGCTAGCTGGGGACTTGTTCTCATGTCTGGGGTAGGTCTGCAAGAGGAATGAGGTGGACATGAATATGCCACCAAATTTACTGTTGTCCCATTGGCCAAAGAAAGTCATGTGACCAAGCCCAGAGTCACTGTGAGGTGAGGGGTACTATCAAAGGGTATAGATACAGGGAAGTTGGAATAACAACAACAATAATCAGAATGATAAAGCAATTTATCTACCTCGCTTTTTTTTTTAATATTTTTTTTATTGATTTTTTACAGAGAAGAAGGAAGAGGGACAGAGAGTTAGAAACATCGATGAGAGAGATCGATCAGCTGCCTCCTGCACGCCCCTACTGGGGATGTGCCCGCAACCAAGGTACATGCCCTTGACCGGAATCGAACCTGGGACCCTTGAGTCCGCAGGCCGATGCTCTATCCACTGAGCCAAACCGGTTCGGCTCTACCTCGCTTTTGTTTGTATTTTTTGCTTAGAGTAAAAACTTCAAATTTCTCACCAGGATTTGGTCACCATTTCTAGCCTCATCTCCTGACTTAGTGTGCTAGCCATACCTATAGTTTCTGGAATTACTTGACTTTCTCATCTGTGTCCTTTGGCAATAGTTTTTTTTTCTGTTTGGAATTAACAGAGGGTTGTCCTCCCATGCACCCTGCTTTTACCTTCCTCTGTGTATTGTTCGTGTCTTCTCCGTGCAGAATTAACAGCTTTTTTTTTTCTTCTTTATGTGCTCATTTAATGCCTTATATTCTTTGAATGGGTTATTATAATGATTGTTTGCATTCCTGTGTTCCTACCCAGACTCTGAATTCCTTAAGGCATAAATCATATACTTACTCTTTAGTGAGTAATTAGGTAATATTAATTAAATGAAAAGTTAATACTGGAGAAAAGAAAGGAAATGATAAATACAAAATTCAGGAGAGTGACTGTTTGGCAGGACAAGGAGTTGGTTTA